GTTTCAAGAACTGTCCTCTAAGAAAGTTTGTTTTATTTTTCAAAAAGGAAAAAATGTAGGGGTGGGGGAATCTAAAATTGCCTAATGAAGCAATTAAAACTAGCAGGAAACCAGTTTTTTTAGAATTAAGGTTTTAATGGTACTAAATTCAGATTTAGGTTAAGTTAAAGTATGTCCTGCAGAAGATTTTGGGTTCAATATTATTTCTTACTAAATGAAAGATTCATTATAAATCATTTGGTGTAAAGTCCTCACATACAATTATTGAAAGTCAGATAAAAACAGGAATATGTGAGAATGCAAATAAAGACATTACGTTTAATTGTTCTGAAATACTGGCTGCAACTGAATGTCCTTCTGTACAGATTATAGTTCAAATGTAACATTTTTCACTTTGATAGTGAAAATACTCCATTTCTCTCAGTCTACAAGACAACAATAAGCTTACCTGTCTAAATAAACTGCCCAAGATGATCATAAGCAACACTACGTTGGAGATGATCAGAGCCTTGGAACACTTCACAAGTAAAGCAGACCTAGTATTTAGGTTTCTGCACACTTGCAGAATACGTTGCTCTTTCTCTGCTGTAATAGCAGTCGTGCATGAGGGAACACTTACCCTTATCTTAGGCACAGAAATAAAAAAAAAAAAAAAGTAAAATAAAAATCTACAGCTTTGCAAAGCAAACACAAAAACAGCCAAAGGAAAAGCCTGATTGACCAGCACACCACTACAAAAAAAACTATAAATTCAAACATAAAGCGAAAACGTTGAACAAATTAGACCAGTATGTGACATTTTATTCCCTCCACTAGTTAGGAACAAAGACACAATCACAAAACGCCTTTAAATATTAAAATATAGTGCATGAAAACCAGATCAGCATCACACAAGTTGTAAGAGTTATTCTCTCATTCACTGTTAAAACTAGAAAAAAGTTGTCCTTTCAGGCTACTAAAGTGTAGCTAAATTTGATATGTGCGTGCCGCACTGCTTAAAAGAACAAAGTGCACTCGTATCCTACCTGATCAGTATTAAACAGAGCAGAGGCCATGGACTCTTGCTGAAGCGGAAGCAAAGGAACAGACTCTTCACTTTCCTCAGACATAGTTAAAAGTGAAAATTCTGAAGCTAAAAAGTCAGTAACACCTGTTGTAACACCGTAAGCAAACGTAAGTTACAAACTACGCGCTTTCAGGTGAATAAGCAATATCAAAAGCAAATGATAGGGTTTTTTTTTTTTTTCCTATCAGGAAAATAGTTAATAGCAAACCCAGAGCAATGCCCTGAACCAAGAGATAAAAGAACCGGCATATTTGATAAAATGTTTTTATTTATTAAATCCAGATTTATCCATCAGGAGCAGACCCTGACAGTGGGCGCAGATTTCATTAGTTCTCCCACAGTGACAGATACTGAAGCCTGGGCTGAACTCTTGGTGTGAGACTGGAAGAAGAGATGGCAAATTATAGTACTTAGTGACTTCACATGCTGACTCTTAGCCACAAAAGCTAGATGTACTTAAGCAGGAAAGGATTTTTGTACATATGTACAAAAACAAAGCGGATGTGTGTGTGGGGAAAAAAAAAAAATCATTACAACTAAGTACTGAAACTACACCTGGAGTTACACTTAAACAGAAAGAAAAAGCACAAGTAGTAGTTACGCATCAGTACAGTCTGTCAGTGAGAAGTAAATAGAACCATCCGTCCCCCATTGCTGGGAAGGAGCACCACCAAGTTACCTGTAAGGATGGTGAGCCCACAGCTTATGACTAAGCTCTGCCTTTTTAATCTGGCAGAAGTGTTTGATACAAGTTACTCTATCATCTGTCCAAGATGAAAGGAAATTTTTTTCATTCCCTCTGAAGTAAAAGCACAAAGGATGCAGTACAAAAGTTTCCACTTTTCTATTTTTATTAGCAGTTTCTATAATCATTAAGTCTTAAGTCAGACTGACATCTTAATTTAAATTTCAAATGTTTTGTATTTTTACTGATATAGCAGGATGCTGATCTGAGATAAAGACAAGAATTTTTCAAAATCTATTTGAACTGCTGGATTGTATAGAAGAGTTAAAGCAGGGATCAAAATATTCACATGAATCACTGCCATAAACAAGGCTACAGGTGGCCCAGCCTCACAAGAGCATTTCTGTGTCACACAGAAACCTGATATTCAAGAGCTATAGCAGGAACAAAGAATTGTGCATGACAAATCAAAGAGCCTGAGCACCACACCCAAGCAGATCATCTAAACTTGGTTTTACCAAAACACATGCAGTACAACGAGTACAGTTTTAGCAACAATTATGCTCTAAGGTCTTGAAAGGTCTTGCTTTGAAAAGCAAGCATATAAAACTTCATGGTTTGAGCTCCCCCTCCCACCAAAAAGCTCAAGAACTCTGAAAGCACCTTGACAATTACTCACACGGAAGACAGTGCTGCCCTTCCTGCAATAGCAACAACAAAACACAGGCTTCAAGCTCTACCTAGACTAAAATTAACTCTGTAACTGAGAAACCTGTGAATCAAGCAGACCACAGATGGGCTAGATCAAGAGAGCTCACTAAATCTTCTAAAGGTCAGTGTTTGACACGGAAGTGTCCCATTCCATTTTCTTAATTTTTCTTGTGGGCTTGGCCACTCCAACCCCATTTTAAACTGGAAGAAGTCTTATTGGTATATAAAAATGAGTTTAGAGAGTCAGATCTTTTACAGAATATTTCTTTAGGCACTGCTTATCACCACAACAGTCCAGATAGAGAAGACTACTCCCAATAAACAGATTTCTAGAGTTCTGAACTGTACTTTCATCCACGCTCATTATTAATCCTGATTTAACTGCTACCAGGTAATAAAATGGTTTATTACATACGGTGTTGCTGAGGTGGTTATCGGGGAAGTTTTCTGTCAGCTGCCCATGCTGAAACTGGGGTAAATGCGCAGACAGTTCTGTCATTGGGGCTGTCCTCTGGAAAACGCTTATTTCTACACAAAATGGATCTTTCCTCTTGAGATGCTGAAAGGAAAAAGATGTGTAAAAAGCCTTTGTTCTTATTGACCAAGTTCTCCATCCCGTCCTTACCCCAACTTTTAGAGTTCACACTACTCTAAAGCGATACACTGAACTGTATCACTTTACGAAGATGTCATAATAGGGATTTTCCAGCATAAAAATAAGAGCGCCTAGGCATTATCAAATTAGTTCATCAGCCACGGAAGTAAGCCAGCAACAAACTAACCATTCAAAACACTTCTCCATTCCTTCTTGTGCAATAAATGAGAAGCACTGCACACTTGCTCACAGCACAACTTCTATGTTTTTATCTCAGCAGAGCACAAGTGTTCCAGGTTCTTCGGTTTTGGATTGCTGATAAGCTCAAGGGGAATCTTCAAGCAAGGATGACTGAGCTACACTTGATCATTTAAAATCTGGATATATCTTTAATACTGTAATGCCTTAAGGGTGACCTAGAGCTACACAAAACAGTATTTCATCTGAGCCTGGAGAACAAATGTGCATTCATTTCCCCTGTAGGAAAATGTATGTAGGTTTTACACATCAGCTAAATGTACATAAACATGCCATATACTTGTAACGGCTTTATATATTCTTCCAGAAAAAGTCACATGCTAACATTTTCTTATACAAACGTGAATAAACCATGCGTTCCATAACAAAGGAGGGTAAAGCAATATGGGGGAAATAGGAAAAAGGGTGACATAACTACGTAAGTTTCAGAAAAAAATCTAATTTTAAGAAACAATGAATAGGTTGTTAGATAACAACCTAGATAACTCACTAGCTTGATTACACAAAACATAGGGAAGTGAATAAACCACTGCCTCAAGGGTGGAGTGCCAGTCCACACTTCCATCCCAAGTGGCTCCTGCTCCTACCTTGTGCCAACTCCAGCACTCATCAGTCCTCTTTACAGTAGATTTTACTCACTAAAATGGTAGAAAGCAAATCCAGGAAAAGAAAACAAGAATATTTTTCTACTGTTTTGGTATACTCAACTAACGTATGGATGGATCTTGAAAAACTCATACATGGGAGGACATCACAAAGCAAGGCCTCTCGCTTTTGGCAGCAGCACGCCACAAGTGCTACAAGACAGCATCTCACTTAAAGAGGGAATTAAGCCTATTTACATACATACTAAGATGCAGAAGCTGTTTCTCTACTTACAAGACTAGTGCACAGTGCTTATTAACTTCAGCAGGGATGTAACTTACACTAAAGAGACATTAGGAAGCAACATCAATTTAACAAGTCTAGTGGGAGCATGCAAACTGTTTAGGAAAAAGACAGACAGTGTAGTATTCACTAGAATGGTTCTCTTCCACATCTGCAATTAAAGTAAATGTAATTTAAAAGGTAATGAAATGTAAGATTAGATGAAAATAAATAGGCACTATGTTACTTTTAAGGTTTTTGCTCTAATTCTTTGGTTGGGCTACAGAATATAAACAATGTTGTTTTAAGGCTGCTACTAGTAAATATTCTCAGTGACAGGGCCACCACAGAGGAATAAGCTAAGTATTTTTATCCAAATATGGAGTATCAGAATGAGATTTTTCACATAGCAGCACGTCAAAATTCTAATTAAATTACAGGATTAAAAAAAAAAACAAAAAACAAAAACCAACAAAAAAGCCAACAAAACACCAACCCACAAAATGCTATTTAAAGACCAGTAAAGAAAACCATCACAAACTCACCCAACAAACAAACCAGCTATTGAGGTGCAGAAAGAAGCTGAAGACAGGGAGGAGTGACTGACAGAAGAGTTACACCGAAGCTTGATTGACAGTGTCTAACAGGCCTCAAAATGTATGGTTTGCTAAAGCAACCCCTTTTGAAAATTCAAGAGCTCAGAAAATGGATTCAGGACATCTTCCCAAACAACTTGATTTTCTATTTTTAAATAAATGAACACTTCCAAGTTTGAAACTGTGAATGAATGAAACCTAGAAATGAGCTGTGCATAAAGAGAGATAAATAAAATTTTTACTTGTTTTACCTGAAAAGGGACTCACAAAACCATTTTTTTCTAATGAAGCTGTTAACATTAGAATAGCCTGCCTAAAAAAGTTCTTCCTTGTTTCCTTTGGCTTTCCTTAGTAAAAACAACAAGAGTTACAACTGCAGTTTTCAGGCATTTACATTTAGTCTAATAAGTAGAGGTAACACACAAGCAATCTTTATTCTGTTTTCTCAACTTCCAAGCAAGTTGTCAGCCACAGCAGGCGCGGTGCGGCCCGGTTAACCTGTGCTTTCTCTC